GGATATTTCTTTGTGAAAGTATATATAATAAGAATGTCTACTAATACTAATTTCAAAAAGCATTGAAATTCAAAATACCGATTGAAATGAATATAGAACTGATTACCTATTATTACATTGTCTGAGGTCTTCATAAACTCCTTGTAAACTTAAGATTTAAGTAAGGTAGAAAAATCTACAATTGAAATTTTAAGAAAATGTATTTAGTTTGAGATCATTTTACTATATTCTAGAAAATGCATTCTTATATGGTTTGAGGAATATCAAATAGAAAGAGAATAAAATCGGAGTATATACTGTAGTTAATAGAATTGAAATACATTTTTTGGGAAGAAAATTCAATTTTTTAAAATACTGTTATAAAATTATTTTTTCATATAAAATGTTTAATTAGTTTTAACTGATTTGGAACCTAAAACTATTTAAAATATTTATTAATTGAATTTTCTAAATATAATTTCTATATTATCATAGTGTCATAAGAAAAAGTAAATATGTGAGTAATTCATTTATTCCTCTATTTACCTATAGCAAATACAGATGGAGTTCAGTTACCACAAGGAAATATTGATCAAGTTGCTGTTGTGTCCACTAATATTCTGTTTTTTGTGGTTCTGTTTATCTTTGCTCTTTTTGAAACGTAAGTTTTATTCTTCATCTAAATCAGATTATGTATTAAATTTCATAATATAGTATTATGAAGACCTTTTTCAAGGCATATTTTTCTTGTCATGATGTAAAAAGCATATAAATCTTATAGGTTTTAATTTGAATATAGTTAATTCTGTAGACATAATCTAACTTACTTACTTCCTCATAAAGGAATCTGGTTCACTAGTTTTTCCTCATATATATATGTTGTTGTTGTTAATTGCCGTCAAGTCAGTTCCAACCCATAGTGACCCTGTATAGGGTTTCCGAGGAGCAGCTGATGAGCTTGAATCGCTGACCTTGCAGTTCAAACGGCTTTACAGTCTGGCGCATTAACCCACAGCGCCACACCAGGTATCAATCTCTCTCTATATATATAGATATAGATATAGATATATAGATATATAGATCTTGTTACCGTTAAATGCCTTTGACTCAATTCTGATTCAGAGCAACCCTGTATAGAGTTTCCAAGGAGCAGTTGTTGGGTTTGAACTGCCAATTTTGTGGTTAGCAATCCAGTACTTGTCCTACAGTGCTGCACCAGATCTCCAAATATACATATATTTCCAGAAGTTCATGGAAAAATTCCATTTTCCACAAACTTTTAGAAGTCTTCTCATATATATTTACATAAATATCCTGGTATGGCGCTGTGGGTTAATGCACCAGAGTATAAATCCATTTGAACTGCAAGGTCGGCAGTTCATGCTCACCAGCCACTCCTCGGAAACCCTATACAGGTGTGCTATGACTCAGAACTGACTTGATGGCACTTAACAAAAACAACATACACACACAGTATTCAGTCTAGCAATTTTAGCTCTACTTAGTCCCTGTTCCTGAAAAAAAAAAATAGTGAAATATATTTCAAAATCTCTGCCTTGTTGACCTTTATCATATGACTCATTGCTTTTTAAAATCTATTAAATTATAAAAATCATACATCATATTGTATAAATTCCAAACAATATAACTTTATTTCCACTCCTTTCCCTAGAGTAACCATTCCTAATACCTTAGTGTGTATTTTTTGAACATTTTTTTCTATGCAACCATAGTATGGATTTGTGTTTGTATGTGTGTGTGTACACACTCCTTGATGTGTACACACACATACATCTAACACAAAATATATATGTATGTTTATGAAATCATCAAGGAGTTTTTGTGTGGCATTGTATGATCAGCACTGGACTGCTAACCACAAGGTTGGTGTTTCAAACCCACCAGCTGCTCCTAGAAAACCCTATACAGGGTCGCTATGAGTCAGAACTGACTGACGACACATAACAACAACCTGAAACCAAAATAAAATACTTCAACATTTATCATTTGAAAACTTGACTTATTAATTTTATTTCAGGACACTTAAATTTGAATTAGTCTTTATTTTTAAAATTATAGAAGTATATAAATAGCTTGCTTATCTGATTTAAATATTTTAAATGACAGTAATTTAAAAAAAAAAAAATCTTTTAAATGCATTTCGGTTTTGTTTTGCATCCTGCAAAGTCGTTGACTCGATGGTAGTTAACAACAACAACAACAATAGGATGGTTGTTGTTGTTAAGTACTGTGGAGTCAGTTCCTTCTCATAGTGACGCTGCACAGGGCTTACGAGGCTGTAAATCTTCACGGGAGCAGAAAGCCTTATCGTTCTCCCACGGAACAGCTGGTAGTTTCAAACTGCCAACCTTGAGGTTAGCAGCCCGATTTGTAACCACTATGCTACCAGAGCTCTTTAATAGGATGGTTAGAAAGTAGAAAAAGAGGCTCAGGCAAAGAAGGAAACAGATAGCCACTTACCACTTATGGCAGTGGCGGCTGTATGTCGTGGAGTCTGTTCCGACTCATAGCGACCCTGTACAGGGTTTCTGAGGCTGTAAATCTCTACGGGAGCAGAACGCCTCATCTTTCTCCCATGGAACATGCTGGTAGTTTCGAACTGCTGACCTTGCAGTTGGCAGCCCGAATCATAACCACTACGCTACCAGAGCTCCTTCAGAGGTAGCAAAAACAATGCACATTTTAATAGAGATGAAAGAGACTGAAGAAAAGGGGAAAAATAGCAGGTCTAATAATGTAATAACTTATGGTGTGGTGCTGTAATATCGGCACTGAGCTGCGAACCCTAAGGTCGGCTGTTCAAATCCTTGGAAACCCTGTACAGGATCACTATGGGTTGGAATCAACTAGACGGTACTTAGCAACAACAACAACATTAATGTAGCAATAGTAACATTTCATTGAAAGAAGACCTTAATCATTTAGTTATGTTAAAATGGTAGGAGTAATGATTGATTTGTTTTCTTTTTCTATTTTTAACTTTCTGTACTGGGCCTTATGTAGTTAAAATAAATATGAAAAATAGAAACATGAATAGGCAAATTTAGTAGCTTACATACAAAATGTGTTTATATGTATTCAAATTTTTACTTGTATAGGCCTGGTGTCATAATTAAAAGGGATACAAATTCATGAATGTATAGTTATCAAAATTAAAGCTTGTATTTCAACGTTAGGTAACAATGACTATGATCTACATAAAAATAAGAATAACATTATTTCTTTTTCGTTTTCCTTAGCATTGTTACTCCATTAACAATGGATATGTATGCATGGACTAGAGAACAAGCTGTTTTATATGATGGAATAATACTTGCTGCTCTTGGAATTGAGGCAGTTCTTATTTTCATGGGGATTAAATTACTTTCCAAAAAGTAAGTCATATTTTTTGGGTTTTTTTCAAATCTGCTTTTTTTAAAGTGAAATATGAAATGGAGTTAACAGTCTCTATCAAAGTGCTAGTAAACTAATTAAAACTGTTTTTCACATTCAGTCTTAGTCGTAGGCTTTGAAAATTTGCATATAGATTTTAAATATATTAAGGGAATATCACATTTACTGGTGTAGGATAAGCACTAAATTACTAACCGCAATGTCAGTGGTTCAGACCTTTCAGTCGTTCCTCAGAAACCCTAAGCAGGGTCACTGAGTTGGAACTGAGTCAATGGCACTTAACAACAACAGTATAGTCTTTGTTAAACCAGTAATATCTTACAAAAGAAGTCCTGGTGTGGCGCTGTGGTATAAGCACTGGGCTGCAGGGTCAGTTTGAACCACAAAGTTGGCAGTCCAAACTCACCAGCTACTCCTCAGAAACCCAATACACTGTAGCTATGAGTCGCTCCCCACTCCATGGCACTTAACAACAACAACAGTATCTTTTAAGGAGCTCTGGTGGCACTGTAACTTAGGCATTGGGCTGCTAACTGCAAGGTGAGTGATTTAAACTCACCAGCTGCTTCATGAGACAAAGCTGAGGCTGTCTGTTCCTGTAAAGATTTGCAATCTCGGAAACCATAGGGTTGCTCTGAGTCAGAATCAACTGAATGGCAATGGATTTGGTTTTAGTTTTTGGTTTACTGTATCTTTTACATGTTACATTTATTCTATGTATTTCTAAAAGTGTATTTTATAAAACACACTTCTGTTCTGCTGTATGGTTAATAGATATTACACAGTAAAATGATTCATTGACAAATTTGATTAGGAAATTCTGGTTAAAATGACTAAACTTATCACTCTAGAATTTTCAAGTCTTCAATGTATGTGTACATACTACATCACATCATTGCAAATATTTTGTTTTTGTTATGTGCCATAGAACTGGTTTTGACTCATAGCTGCCCTATGTAGGGTTGGCAAGGAGTGACTGATGAGTTTGAACCACTGACCTTGGGGTTAGAAGTCCAGTGCTTATCCTACAGTGCCATATCAGGATTCTATACTAGAAAATACAGTACATAGCATTTCTCATAGTTATTTGACTACAGACCACTTTTTAAAGAAACATTTTATGAAAGTACAAAACTGTAAGGAACCCATGTTGGGGGAAATGGTTGTAGAAACTTAGGTTCAATCATACAGTAAGGAATGGGACATGAGTTGATGACTTTAGACAGTCCTAAGTCTGCTAACCAAAAAGTCGGCAGTTCAAACACACTAGCTGCTCCTCAGAAATCCTATACAGGGTCGCTATGAGTCAAAACTGACTTGATGAGGTTTACTTATTGTTAAAATATCTTAATAAAATTACACAAACTAGTCAACAAATATTGAGTTAATGAATAAAGTTAAGTGCCATAGGGAATACAACAAAGATTCCTATTCTTACGGAACTAAGTGATGGTGGTGGTTATGTGCTGTGGAGTCAATTCCGACTTATAGCAACCCTGAACAGGGTTTCCGAGGTTGTAAATCTTTACAGGAACAAAAAGCCTCATCTTTCTCCCGTGGGACAGCTGGTAGTTTTGAACTGCTGACCTTAAGGTTTGCAGCCCGAATCGTAACTATGGAAAAGCTCCATTATCTTTTTTATATACCGTTTTTATTGTGAATTGAGTGAAAGTTTACAGACAAGATCTTCAGTTTTACATTTTGTTTCATCTCAGTGATCACAATCCTGTCCATGTAACAAAAGTTTTCCCACTTCCTCCCTGTGGATCTTATTTCCATTTCACTCTCGTTCCTATCACTTCTCAACTTTTTCCATAGGTAAATGTTGCCCTTGTGATCTTGAATGGTTGACCATCTTTTAGTGCACATACCTTGCTAGTTTTGTTGTCCACTCTATATATCTATTGCTTGGCTGAAAATTGGGCCACAAGGGTGAGTTCTATTCTAAATCTGAAGGGTGGTTAAGGACCATAGTCTTGAGTTCCTGCAGTCTTTTTTATAATTTTGTTTTTGATTTTACATTCTATCCAGAAAGAGTGTCCCACTATCCGGGACTTTTCTAATGTGATCCCTTTCAGAACAATTGATAGTAGTAGCCAGTTCTGGTCTCAGAGTCATGGGACTGATGGTGACATGTTCCTTTTGGTCTATTGGACTAGTTGATTCCTAGCACCTTCAAATTATTATCACTCTTTGTTCTTTCTTTTTAACTTGTTATTACAATGATTATAATCCCCTCCATGTACCATCAGTTAACAGTATTTCTTTCTAATCACTTTAGCCTTTTAAAAAACAACAACAACAACAAAAAACCACTCAGGCATACATAATAATTTACACCTCTAAAAGGTATGTTCTGAAAGTCTGCCTCCTGGCCACCAGCTCTTAGTCCGTCTCTTCCCATGAATCTACTGTCCTCAGCCGCTCCACATCTCCATGACCCTATCTCTGCCTCCATCTCTGACATCCTTGCTTCTCTGGATAAGGTCCCGCATTCTGCTTGTGCTCTTCTCGTTTGATGGTCCTAGGGTCTTCTGTTTCTGTACT